GACTGTGTGAATCACAACAAACTGTGGAAAATTCTTAAAGAAATGGGAATATCAGACCACCTTATCTGTCTCCTGAGAAAGCTGTATGGGGGGTCAAGAAGCAACAGTATCACCTTACATGGAACAACTGACTGGTTCAAAATTGGGAAAAGAGTACGACACAGCTGTATATTTTCACCTTGTTTATTTAACTTATATGGAGAGTTTATCATGCGAAATGCCAGGCTGGAGGAATCACAAGCTGGAATCAAGACTGCTGGGAGAAATATTAACAATCTTAGATAGGCAGGTGACACCACTCTAATGGTAGGAAGTGAAGAGGAACTAAAGAGCCTCTTGAGGATGAAAGAGGAGTGAAAAAGTTGGCTTAAACCTCAACATTCAAAAAATGAAGATCATGGCATCCAGTCCCATCATTTCATGGCAAATAGAAGGGAAAAGTAGAAGCAGTGAGTTTTTATTTTCTTGGTCTCCAAAATCACTGCAGATGGTGACTGCAACCATGCAATTTAAAGATGCTTGCTCCTTGAAAGGATAGCTATGACAAACTTAGACAGTATATTAAAAAGCAAAGACATCACTTTGCCAACAAAGGTCCGTATGGTCAAAACTAGTTTTTCCTGTAGTCATGTACAGATGTGAGAGGTGGCCGTAAAGAAAGCTGAGTGCCAAAGAACTGATGGTTTCAAACTGCGGTGCTGGAGAAGACTCTTGAGAGTCCCTTGGACTGTAAACGGATCAAATCAGTCAATCCTAAAGGAAATCAACCCTGAATATTCACTGGAAGGACTGATGCTAAAGCCAAAGCTCCAATACTTTGGCCATTTGATGCAAAGAGCTGACACACTGGAAAAGACCCTGATGCTGTGAATGACTGATAGTAAAAGAAGTAGGCAGCACAGGATGAGATGGTTGGACACCATCTACAACTCAATGGACATGAATTTGAGCAAACTCTGGGAGATAGTGAAGGACAGGGAAGCCTGGCATGCTGCAGTCCACAGGGTTGCAGAGTCAGACAGGACTTAGTGACTAAACAACATCAAAGGAATATTATTCTTTCACATTTCATTTAAGTTTTAATTACTTTTTCTCATTCTATCATCTTTTAAACTGTAATCTTTTTGGTGCTAAGTTTTGAACTTTTTATGTAACAGATCTACCAACTTTTCCTATATGACTTTTGGATTTGTTTTGCATTCCTTATCTGAACCATTAAAATAATCTCCTAAGATATCTTTGTAATTATATTTTTGTCTCAATAAGTAAAATCTTAAATAACACTTTAAATATCTTTCACCATCATATGGGTAATAATTTGAACTAAAAAAGTCTATCCTTTTCCTGACATAAATGCTGTCTATAGCATGTATTATTAAAACTTTTTATCTAGTTGTAAATTTTGTTCCAATGATCTATTAACTTAATACCACAATCTATTCAATACCATACTTCATATATTGTAGCTTTATTATATGTTCTAAAACACACCAACTTTCCCATCATAATTCTTTTTCAGAAGTTTATTATTCCACCACCCTGAAGGACACTTATAATTTTTACTTATGTGACTGTGCTGTACAATTTGTGGGATCTTAGTTTCTAGACCAGGGACTGAACCTAGGCCCCTAACAGTGAGAGCCCAGAGTCCTAATCACTAGAGTGCCAGGAAATTCATTTATTTACTATTCTTGTGAATCTTACTTTTCCAAATCTTTAATATCAACTGGACAAGTTCTTTTTAAAAACCTATTATTATTCATATTGCACTGACTTTATAGGGGGAAAAAAGGCAGCCACCTGTACAATATTATTCTCATCTAATAATATTGTCTACTTTCTCATTACTCCTATCTCGTCTCTTGTCCTTCAAGAAATGTTAGTTTTATTCATATGTATCTTGCATAATCTTGTTAAATTTATACCCGGCAAGTTTATACCCACTGCATTTTTTGATTTGTGTATGTATGTATACATGTGTGGTACAAATGAATTAGTAAATTATTGAGTAAATTAACAATTTTTTCATGTTTATTTTGAACTGTCACCTCACTGAACTCTTGTAGCAGTGCAAGTTTTTCAGTTTCTGGTTTATATTTTCTAGGTAGAAAATCTTATACCTTGTAAGTAACATTCCATTGCTTCCATTCTCAGTATTTCTATCTCATTTGCTAAGCCCCAGAAAACAATACTGAAGAATTCAAGTGGCAGCTGATATTTCTGACTTGTTCCAGACTCTGAGAATATAGAAAAATGAAACAATAATATGACTTCCAGTATATGCAATTGATGACTACTTCCCAACCCTCTGAATTTGCCCGTTATTTGGTCAAGCTCACAACCCCACATTTTACCCAAATGAAACCTTACCCCACCCTACATTATGGGAGGATGTTACTGTGTTCCAATGTTTCATCATTAACACTGATTCTGATAGTTCTCTAAGTACCTTATAGCAAGTTAACAATTTCCTTCTCTATATTACCTACATTAAAAAAATTTTGAATTGTATCAAATGTATCTTCAAGGTATGTTTTCTTTCCACCAATAAAAGATCCATGCACATACAAGAATGCATTACTCTTTCAATATAATGTTGGACTTAATTTACCAATGTTTTAGAATGGATTTTGTAACTGTGAGAATGGCCTCGGGTGGTTTGCTTTTGCTTTGTCTCAGGCCAGAGAATGACCCCTCTCCAGGTTTGGGCACCAAGGATGTAAAAATTTTGAACAATGAATCAGAACGTCTCCTTTTTTGCCTCCTTTTTGTGTCCTACATTCTGAAACTACTTAAATAACAGGAATTACCTATTCCTTAAAATCTGGCAGAATGTATATTATGAGTCTGTGGAAACTTCTGCAGAGGTAATTTTTTAATAACCTTGCTTCTTGATTATCAGTATTTTAAGGGTATCTGCTTTGTGTCAGGTAATTTGAAAAACTTTTATATATTTCCAGAAAAGCATCCATTTTCCTCCGCCATGTTAAATTTTCCTAGAAACACAATTTCAGAAGTTTATGAGTGCAGCTATTTGCACTCCAAATCAGAAACACACAAACACACACATTATCTTTGGAGGTTACAAACAAAGAGTGAAATAGCAGAGCAAGCTTTCTAGGTCAGCCTGGAAATTATTTGGATGACGTCAAAGCTAGTGTCCTCGTGTCCCCCATTTTCATGAGATGAACTTTACAGTTTATGAGTTTTACTGGGTTGGCCAAAAACTTCGTTTGGGTTTTCTGTACAATGTTATGGGAAAACCCAAACGAATATTTTGGCTAACCCAATACATAGCATTCTCTTAACTCTGGCTGTGTTACCCCACAGACTACAGTGGGACAAGTGTGGAAGGCAGGAGTTGTTACAGGGCTATTCTAGGTGAGAGCCACTGGTGGCTGGAGTAGGACAACAGCAGTGAAGATGGTGAGAACTGGTCAGATTGTGAAAATATTTTAACAGGAGAGACAAGAGGATTCACATATACAGTTACTTTCATCAGTAACATCGCGCTATAGGAAGATTCTCAACCAGGAGAATCACTGTACGGACTTCAGGTTCTATGAAAATATGGCCTGTTGTTTTCACATTTGTGTATTCCCATTTACAGTAATTACAGTGCTTTGCAAATTTGTTGAAAGTCATGTGCATGCCTGAAATAGTTCTGACATGAGATTAATTACAATAAACAAGTCAACTTGGGTCTTATGCTACTCCAGAACTTCAGGTAGAAGGTGCTTATGTTAGACATAAAATCAAAGTTTGGATTAAAATTTTGCTTCATTAAACTGTGTTTCTCATGCTATAATGCAACCTTTCAAAGTCAAGCAACTATGTGATATTAATATGCTTCCTCAAAACTTATGTTAACAACCAGAGTCAGAGCTTTTAAACTTCTACATGTCAGCATGTCCAATGCCCAAAAGAGCACAAGGCTACAACTGCTGCATCAAGTCCTACATGAAATGCAAATTTAAGAAAAATAAAGAGTATTATCAGACTACCCAAACATAGTAAGAATCTGTGTTATTTGACAAACCTACTTCTCAACTCTCTGAATTTGTTTTTCAACACAGGGGAGCTTTAAAAAAAAATAACGCCTGGGCTCCATCCAAAGCCAATTAAAACCAGAATCTCCATGGAGCACTTTTTAAAAAAAATAAAAAACTTCTCCAACAATGCTAGTATCAGCCCGTTAAGAACCACTGCTTCAACAGAATTTTATGAAAGATAAAATAAGCAAAATTAAAATGCACAGCACAGGAAAAGTATAGGAAAAGGGAGAGTAAGTTAAAACCCAAAGGGCTCACCTTTTGCTACCTCCTCGAACTACCAAAGATTACTAATATTAGGATATATATCATAATCTTATCAATTAGGCTGCTAAGATAAAACATAAAACTTCGGGCTCTAGTTTCCTGTGCTCTAGTCCAGAAAGGGAAAGGGGAGAGAAAGGCCATGTCCATGGAAACAAGCCCTCATGCCTGAAAGGATAATTTTATTTGAATCTATTTTCACTCAAAATTTAAAAAAAAATACAGCAACATAAAATATGGGGAAAGGGAAGTTGGTCTTTGAGAATTTGTCAAGTTTTTACTGCTACAACAATCCTTCAAACCTGGAGCTACTCAAAGATGAATCATGAAAAATAAGAACAAAGACTATTTCAAACAGGTTCAGTGGTATGTCTACTACAGCAAAGTCTGGTTGTAGCAGTTTCCTTTCAAATCTGCACTGACATATAAATTAGACATTATTTGGGAATGATTAGTTTCTGGTAAAATGTAAATTCAATCCAATATGATGCTAATTTCTACATTTATTGTAGGCTCTATTTCAGTACTAGAGGTTAAATTTTCATCACCAAAAAATGAGAATAACCTTACAGCTACTACTAAGGTAATGAGCTGTGAAATTACTTTCCTAGTATTGTTCTGAAAATATACCCCTAGGTTGGTTAAGAGAAATTCCAACTTCATCCAAATCTGTTATTTAATTCTTCAGTCATCATCTACTGTTGGCTTGATTGTCACTCCTCTTCTTATTTGACCCCAACCAATTAAACTGCAAAATGAAAATAAAAGAAATCATGAATTTTATATCCGCTTCATTATCATTACCACATAATCACATGACACAACTAGTTTTACTTGCCTATCTGCTCAAATTGAATGTTTCCAAAACCTGCTCCTCCAGAAAGAAAGCTCACACTATCTTCACAGACCCAGAGATGGGCTCTGGCCAGAAGAACTGACAGGAAAAGCAAACAAAAAGTTGCTACTATAAACATGCTCAACTTCGCAAATATACCTGCCTCTTCAGAACCACTAATGAAGAACATTCCAGTCCACCCAAGGAACCATGCTAACATACAAACCACTTCAGTCTGATTTTTTAAAATTCTTTTTTCCTCTTTGAAAAAAAAAATTTTTTTTTTTAATGGTTCGCAGCACTTCAACAGGTCACATGGCTTTCTCATGACTTTAATTGGTAAAGGAAATTAAGAGATGACCTAGAGTAGATAATCTATAATCAGATTACTCTCAATAGCAGAGGGAGTTCTGCTCCATCTCTGTTTCAGTGTCTGCTTTAGTCAATGGCCAGGACAGATTGTTACCTAAATTGTAGGTTCTAGAACAGAACTTACCTAAGCATGGGTTAAAAACAATAAATCTAAAGAACATTTCTTTTAACAATTTTAAAATACTTGCTTATTTTTAAGCAACATCTAAAATTTCATTTGGACAGAATCCTCTTATAATATTAGTAGACACACAAAGATCATTCCTTTCTTTAAAAATACACTGGGAAAAAGGAAAAAAAAAAAAGACAAAAAATACACTGGAAATCAGTCTGTCTATAACAGCAAATAGTATAATCACATGAGAGTCAGATCAAGCAGGCATGAATCATCACAAAGCAGGATGATTTATTTAAAGGTTTAACTCTGTCTCAATTAGAAATAATTCAGATCTTCTGAACAGTACATGATTAGATCATCCTGAGGCACTGTGAAAGGGAAGCCTTAATAAGGGAGGTAGATAGTGAGGAAGAAACAAAATTAAACCAAAGGTGATTTAAGTAATTATGTGGACAATCAGGACACAAAACAGTCTAATGTAGGAGGTTTATATGAGACTAAGCAGGAGGAATTTAAAATGCATTCAAAGTAGACTTCCAGAAAGGTCCTGAATCAGAAAGTAGTAGGAAGTTACTAGAAATTACTGAGTACTGCATGAAAAAATGTTCTAGGAAGATTAATTTTGACTGAATGCTTAAATAACAGTAGAAGAGGCATATTAGCAATCTTTTGCAATAACTTTTAAGTGTGAAATGATGATGGTATGGGCTACAAAGAGGTCACACAGAATAGAAAGGAAATGTAGATTTAGTAACTAACCAGGAAAAGAGAAAAGAGAAGTCAACAATATGTGTATGTTTCCAAGCTCTATCCACTCAAAGGGCCCTGAAGAAACAGCACCTTTGGAGAAGTGAGCACACCTCAGTTCAGTTCAGTCACTCAATCGTGTCTGACTCTGAGACCCCATGAATCACAGCATGCCAGGCCTCCCTGTCCATCACCAACTCCCGGAGTCTATCCAAACCCATGTCCATCGGGTCGGTGATGCCATCCAACCATCTCATCCTCTGTCGTCCCCTTCTCCTCCTGCCTCCAATCCTTCCCAGCATCAGGGTCTTTTCCAATGAGTCAACTCTTTGCATGAGGTGGCCAAAATACTGGAGTTTCAGCTTCAACATCAGCCCTTCCAACGAACACCCATGACTGATCTCCTCTGGATGGACTGGTTGGATCTTCTTGCAGTCCTAGCACACCTAGCACCCAAATCTTCATTTCTAACACCATTTCCCACTAAGAGGAACCAGGGCTCCCTGGAGAAATGGACAATTCTAAACTGAAGCAGGGGAGACACACAAGGTGACTTCAGAGCAACTTAAGCCAAAAGTAAGGAACTATTAAAAAACAAACCCCACAGAGACATACTGAAGCTTGCGCAGCTCCCAAACTGTCCGTGGGGTTGTGATCTGCTTCAGAAAGCAAAGCAGAGGGTTTGTCTTCTGGGAAGACAGAAGTCATTTTCTCTGAAAAGTCCTCTTATATAGTTAGCTTTTGCACTCTCCAGAAATAGGAGGGCAAGGATTTGATGCCACCTGAGTCTAGGTTTCAGATGAAGTAGAGAGAATACAGTGGCTATTCCCCAAAAGTCCATAGTGGGGTGTAGTTATCTCCAGAATACGTCACTGTTAATTTAGCATGGGTTTCGTGACAGTCATAGAGATGGACCCCTTAATAAAATAATAGGTTAAAAAACATGGGGAAATACCAACAGGACATAGGAGCCAATTTGTCTCCTGGACAAATTCTAGACATCAAAATAAGTAAGGACAGTAATGAATCTGTAAGGGCCTGCTGAATAAAATAGGACTCCATGAATGCATATTATAACTAGGTAAGTAAATAATGGGGAAGAAAGAATGTCAAATGACAAATGATGAGTGACAGAGAGTTTTGGGAGATGGGTAATCACCATTTTGTAATCACTATGATCAAGCTCAATTCAGACAAAAATCATCAGTGGATGCTAAGCTAAATCCCTACCCTGGGGGGAGGGTGGGGTGTGATAAGGAACAGACTATTTGCATAGGGTCTCCCCCAAAGAATACAAATTCACAAGTGTAAAGAGTAACTATAGGGTGGAGAAACTGGCTAATGCCTTGCCTGTATGATCAAAATTAACCTCAACAAGAAGCAATCTGATAACATGTATCTCTAGTTATGACTCCCTGAGGAGACATCACCACCTACCTGAAAATATCCTAACCAAGAATACATAACCTGAACCTAATCTTAGGAAACATCAAATAAACCCAAATTGAGGAACAATCTATAAAGCAACTAGCTTGTATTCTTCAAAATTGCCACTGACAAGTAAGACAAGAAAAGGCTGAGGAAATTCCAAATTAGAGATCAAAGAGCCATGAAAACTAAATGCAGTGCATGACCCTAGACAGGAAGGAGACAGACGACATTATCAAAATAAGTGATAAAACTGACTGTAGACTTTAGTATTTTAACAGTGTTAAGCTTCTTAAAGTGGTTATATAAGATAATCTTGTTTTTAAGAAATATATACCAAAGTATTAAGAGATAAAGGGGCAACCTATTTCTCAAACAGTTCAGAAAAAGGGAGGTATTAAACCTAAATTCACTGGTTTTGGCATAGCTTGTGTCTATCACAAATCAGGCCTAGAAATACAGATTTCAAAATCATCCGAATAAACAGTTGAGAATTAAAGCCATGGTACAGTAACTGTTGCGTTCAAGGTAAAGTGTGTTTGTGAATGTGTTAAGTAAACTATGTCTTTTTTATTAGACACTGACAAAGGCTAATAAACTTACCGCCAGTGTTTCTCAACTCTTCGGCTAAGTGCAATTTTTTCTCCTACTTCTGTGCACACAGGATTAGTCAAGACGATTTTGCCCAAATCAGCCTTGACTGCACTAACTCTTCCTCCTGTTGACAGGGATCCTATATTCACCATAAGCACTTCATTCTTAGACAGCTTTTGTACCTAAAGAAATCAAGTGGTGAAAAATAAACCCCCAAATCAAGAAGATGCTTTCCAAATAACTGCTTATGTTCCTATCTCCTTACCAACAAAAGACATCAGCAATTTTTCATCTCTGCCAACCTGATTTCAGTTAAGACTTTTAAGAAAAACATACAGATAACAGGAATTATCATGTCACTGTTATATAGGACATACTGTTTCCTGTTTTGTTTTACTTTAGACTGCCCTATGCAAGTTCTCGATTTTCAGGAAGTCAAATTTATTTACCTTCTCTCTTTTCTTAATCCTGTGTTAACTAAAAAGTATGAACCTCAAAACTGGTCTTAACATCACTGGCACTTGAAGCACTTACTTTCGCTGCTTTCTTGTCTCCTTCAGTGCGAACACCTAGAAGCCGTCTAAGCAGGAAATAGGAAATTTCCAATTCTGTGAAGATCTCAGGTAAAGCTCCAACTGCACCAAGTACTTGCCCCACCATTCTGTCAGCCCGGCACAAAGTGGGGTCAATTTTTGTTCCAACTCCTGATCCAAAATAAGATATATGTGGTCCAACATTTTATTTCCGTTTACCCAAAAACCTTATTCAAACTAGTACAGCACATACCTACCTACACATTTTAATACACAACTTATATTTTCATACTCGTTTATTGGCTACATAGATGTGACAATAGTTATCTGAAGGAAGAGAACTGTAAACTCACAAGTTAGTTGGGCCTTTGAGGATGATTCTCTTGATTTAAACTGTAAGCAAAGGACAAACAGAGATAACAGCCTAAATAAAAAAATGAATCTGAATATCCTTAATGAAGGCTGAAACAATACAAAATTCATGAGTAGTTTGCAGGATATTTACCTGCCATTTCTCCCCTGAAAGAATGATCAAAAAGATAGCTTAAAGATTTTAAGTAATTCCTGGGATTGATTTCAAAATATTTTAGCTGCATGTCTTTCATGGAGAGAAGACATAAAGATGAGGCAAGAATGGTAAAGTATTGGGAATTCCCTGGCGGTTCAGTGGTTAGGAATTGGCACTCTCACTGCTGTAGACCTAAGTTCGATCCCTGGTTGGAGAACTAAGATTCTGCAAGCCATGTAGCACGTCCCCCCTAAAAAACAACTGTAAAGCATTGATAATCTTTGAAGTTGCGTGGTGGCTACACTACTCTCTGTACTTTTATGTTGGAAAAGTTCCATAAGTTAAACTTTAAAAGTCCCAAGAGTTTCCTTATTTACAAAACAAACCAAAAGGATAAAATTATACACAGCAAACTCCTAATTACAAAATACAATAGAAAAATGAATTAAAGAGCCAAACATCAGAGAACAAAAAGATGAACTCCTTCACACCAAACATTTTCTTTAATCCAAAAGTTAGTAACACCTCTGACTAATTCTCACTGTATCTTGCCTTTTTCTGGGTATCTGGTAATACACTACTGTATGAGACCAGGAAACCCATATATTATTTCAGTAACAGCAAGATAATGGAAGTTATAATCTTTAATTCCCACCTCAGTGTTTAACTATGATCTATCATGATTTAATTGACATTTGTGGGTAACTCTCCATGTGAAAATCATACGAAAACAACAAAAAAACCCACACTACCCTAAAACCATGTTCAAAAAAAACTATGGTTAGGTATTTTTACATTTTAGGCCATAAAATTTACTTTGGTACTGCTAAAAAGGAGCTACTTTAAAAATTAAACCAAAATTCTTATGTTTAAAAATAATTTTCACAAGCATATGAAATCATCATATGACCTAAAATCAACAGCTTAACCACATAAACATTCCCCTACCCTGCTCGATCATTAAACATCAAATGCTGAATCTTGTTGATGTTTGACAGAAAACAGCAAAATTCTGTAAAGTAATTACCCTTCAAAAAAATAAATAAATAAAGTGGCAAACAAAAACCCCGTAGGGATGAGAGGAAAAGCCTTACCAATAAGACCTCCTGGGGCAGCATATTGAAGATCATTATGCTCTGCGAAAAGCGATACAATTTTGGAAAAGATAGGTTTACACATGAGTTTTCCTTCACTGTCTTTGGAAACAATACCAGGTCTGACTTCTATCTCCTGGCCCACCTGTAAAAATATAAATTAATAATTAGAATTTGTGGGACAACACCATTTCCTTACATACGAAAAGTCCTAACAGGAAGACCACAAAACTGAAAGGTCAGCTTTATTTCAAAGATCACTATTTAAAAAAAAAAAAGATGTGGAAGAGATCTTCAAATTCAGAACCATCCAAATGTTTTGAACAACCTATTATATAAGCCTATTGCCAATTTAAAATGTGCTTCATAGTCATAGAAGCCTATAAAGTTTGAGGTCAAACACACTCAAAAGATACACTAGTAAACAAAGAAATCTACATCAAGTACTAGACACCATGAAGAAAAAAATTATTTTTCAATTTGAGTGTCTGTACTATTCTCCTACTTAGGACAAGAGAAAAAATAAAGCAAAAACACAACACTCAAAATCCAGTTTACCTTTAACACTCCTTTTAGAATACTACCACCAGCTACACCCCCCTTAAGGTCATCAACTTCACAGCCAGGTTTGTTGACATCGAAGGATCTAATAACTAAAAGAAAACAAAACAAATTAAAGCCTATTCACTTTAACTTCAGAAAAATTTACTTTTTTGTAAGTTAACTTTTCTTAAATAGTAGACACATAAAATTTACACAAGGAGACTTTGTCACAAAGTTTAAAATTATTATTCCAGCTAGGTATACTGCAATTTTAATTATGCTAGAAAAAGTAGAAATAACTTAAAAGTACATTGATAGCAGGCATATTATGGTACACCCACAGTATGGAGTATCATGCAGCTATTAAAAAAAAGACTGTTAGAGGGGAGAATAGTTTGAGGGAGAATGGATACATGTGTATGTATGGCTGAGTCCCTCTGTTGTCCACCTGAAACTATTACAATATTCTTAATTGGCTATACCCCAATATAAAATTAAAAATTGGGAAAAAAAAAAAAAAGAATGTTAAAAGAGCATATGTAATGATGTAGAAGGAAAACCTTCATCTGTTGTTCAGGAAAAAAGAAAAGACTAGTTATGCATAGTATGATCCCACTTTCACATAGAAAAACTGAAACAAGAAACATATTATGTTTATACATGATGATATGAATAAAGAGAAAGGTGCACAAACAGTACACACCAATTGTTAACTGTAACTTCAGGGCTAAGGGGTGAGGCAAGAACTGTGGACCTTTCTGGTCATGTACCTTTATATGACTTCTGCAACAAAAAGATTTAGTTTCAAAACAACCCTAGGACTATGTGACCTGCACTTCAGTCCTGAGAACAGGAACCATTAACAAGGTGTACTCATTAGAATAATCCAAGAGAACCCTGCCCACAACACACAGAAAGGGCTGGGGGGCGCCTAGGTGAAGCTTCAGAGGGTTCAAATGTCTGTTGTGAAAAGGTTCCACCATCTATGTACAAATCATGAGTTTAAATGATCAAATTATACCAATATTGATACCACAAACTTAAACAAATGAGAGAGGTGAATAACTTCATTAATGGTACAATGAAATCATTTGTCTGTAAGTCCTAATATCCTGATTCTAACTAAAACATAATTCCATAAGGCATACTTTATTGCTCCATCTTGATCATGTAACATAACACATACCAAGCACAAAAAGGCTAAAAGTTGTGTCTGTATTCAGGATTCCCATCCAGTAATGCAATCTAACTCTGCTAATACAATCTCAGAATTAACTGACTTTAAAAAAAAGTTTTTCACGGAGACTGTAATTTATTATCACCTCTGCAGAAATCATTGGTGATTCCCTTAAAGAGGAATCAGCAATGTGGTAAAGATCAGATAAAAATTCTATTACTTACCAATAAGTCTGGGTTCTGAAGTAAAGTCTCTTGGGGGTACCGGAATTTTCTTTACTATGTACTCACAGACAACTTCAATATTGTATTTTAGCTGAGCAGAAATTGGGATAATAGGAGCGCCTTCTGCTACTGTACCTATAAGACAAAATTTTTTTTTTTTAATTTTTTTTTTAAGACAAAATTTTCAAAAGATCAAAATTCTTCAGTTTTATAGAGCCTGTTCTTTATATATTATAGGAAACAGTTAAGATTATTAAAATAGATGCCTAAATATACCCACGTATACCCACAGCAACAGGCAAAAATGGTCATTCTTTTCAGAAAAGTGTCAGTATTCTATATTTGTTTCTACTCCTGAAAATTAACACTATTGCATTCAAGGGGAAAAAACTCAAATTTTACTAATAGATATATTTAATATACCAAAATAATAAAACTGTTTAAAAGATTAAAATACTTAACACTCCTGGGAAAGACCATTTTACTAGTTGAAAGGTTTCTTCAGTTCAGTGCAGTCGCTCAGTTGTGTCCGCCTCTTTGCAACCCCATGAACCACAGCATGCCAGGCCTCCCTGTCTATCACCAAGTGCTGAAGTCCACCCGAACCCATGTCCATTGAGTCGGTGATGCCATCCAACCATCTCATCCTCTGTCGTCCCCTTCTCCTCCTGCCCCCAATCCCTCCCAGCATCAGGGTCTTTTCAAATGAGTCAGCTCTTCGCATCAAGTGGCCAAAGTATTGGAGTTTCAGCTTCAACATCAGTCCTACCAATGAACACCCAGGACTGATCTCCTTTAGGATGGACTGGTTGGATCTCCTTTCTAATAACATGCAACTGATCTCCCAATAAAAGTCAAAACAAAATTATAGTCTCTTGCTAATCAAAGACTAATGGCATACATAATATCTGCTCCTTATTAATTAAATGTCTAACAGGTTCATGAAAGAAATGTACCAAACACAATGAGGCTTTAATCAAAATGAGACATTCTTTTTTGTTATGAGAGAACTGGATGCAGAGGAAGTCAACCTTTCTCACAAGAAAAACAAGGATAAGAGAGAATCTAACGTCAACAATAAGATGTCTTCCCTGAAATGAAAAACACCATGCCATTAAAGGAAAGGAACACTAAAGATAAATCACTATCAGTTCCAATTCTAAAAGTAGCTACTCAGTAAAGATAGTCTAAGACTGAAATTTTCTTATGGATCGTAAAAAATATTTATTCTGTGCCCATGCCACAAAGCTTGTGAGATCTGTTTCCCAACTGAGGGACTGAATCAGTGCCCTCGGAGTAAAAGCAGAGTCTTAACCAGTGGACTGCCAGGGAATTCCCAAGACCAAAGTTTTTTTTTTTTTAAAGCTTTTGCTAATTTTACCATCTCTGAGGAAGATTTTTATTAGGTATTATAGCTTCTTACCTTGAACAAATGCAAGGATCTGTTCATACTGTTCTTTAGCCTGGCTTTCTTTTACCAAATCAATTTTATTTTGTAGAATCAAAATGTGCTTCAGTTTCATGATTTCTATAGCAGCCAAGTGTTCAGATGTCTGAGGCTGAGGACAAGACTCGTTACCAGCTAGATGATAAAGAACAAAAAAGATGCATGAGAATTAGCTAGAACTATCTGTCAGAATAGGAAAATCCATAAGAGGCAGATTAGTGGTTGCCAGGGAGTAAAGGAAAGGGGGATTAGAGTGACTTCTTAATGGGCACAGGGTTTCCTTCTAGGGAGACAAAAATGTTCTGGAACTCAATAGCACTGATGCTTGTAAACACTGTAAATGTACTTAATATCACCAAATTGTATACTTTAAATAGCTATAGTGCTAACTTTTATGCTACGTATATTATACTATTAAAAAAACCAAACCAAAACACCTACCTGACATCTAAAAAAAGGAAATGCTTGAATGCCCTAACCCTACTCAAAACAAAAGTCCTGGATTATTGCCAAGCATTCAACTTTTGCCCCTGCTCCACCCCTTGTGCCTGCATTCACTGGAGTCTCCTGATTATTAGATTCTCTTTCCTGGTCTTAAGCCAGAAACTTAAAAATCTACAAGTTTGGCATTTCAGGGTCTGCCCTTGGCTTTTGCTCAAGCATAAGGTATATCCCCCTGGCTCTATCCAGTTTTAGAGATGCTCTGACCTGGTCAAGCTCCTGAGAGGTGGGGAGTAATTAAGGGAATTCACTTAACACAGTCCATGAATTTCAACTACTATCAGAGGCTACTCCCTAACAAATAGAGGAAAGAAAAAATAACCATTGGTATTATCAAGAAGTAGGTATGTTTTGCTGGATACTCCAACAACCATCCTCCCTAAGTGGTGATGTTTAGGTGTGTCTTATACTCTATCCACTCAGCCTACTTTTAAAAATTATTTCTCACAGCAACAAAATCTCTTGCCAGCTCACACAAGGTGGCACAACTCCAGACCTGAAAATCACAGTTCATCTACTAGACTTCAGCACTTATTATAAATGAAATTTGCATCTAATAAAACCATTATACACCAATGTTGCAGTAAACACTTCAAAGATGCACACATACAAAAAAAATCTAAAACTAAAGTAATAAATCATTTCATGGAATCTAAGGGGACAAAATGCACTACAGACTTTAGATCACCGGAAGACAAGGATGTCATACTGGGTGACATGTTAGTTCCCATTCCTGTCACCTTTAGACACAGGATGTGGTCCTTAAAGGCCTTAGTTTTCCTTTAAGTATTCCATCTTGGATTTGCTCCACAGTGATTTGTTGGAACCAATTCTGATGTATTTACCTATCAACAGAAGAGCGGCATCCATCACTGCGGCACCGTTTAGCATAGTAGCCATCAGAATATCGTGGCCAGGACAGTCAACAAAGGAAACATGCCTAACAAATTAAAAAATAACCATCAGTCCTAAGATCAATCAATACGTCAACATTCGAGTTACAGATGCCCTAAAATTAAACCCCGTTAAGTATAGAATGTCAATACGGCGTAAGAATATGCAAATAATTCTTATTTTTGTAAAGTCAAGCAGTTACAGGACTTGGTGTTTCTAGACTTTAGAAATAAGACCACCTACTGACTCAATTATACTTCAGAAACAAACAAAAATTTCATAGAAACAGAGATCAGATTTGTAATTAACAGATCTATGGTTACTAACAGTGGGGTTGGGGGAAAAAGGAATCAGATGAAAGCAGTCACCAACTTTTTTAAGATAAAGAATTACTAGGAGTATAACATACAATAGATATAGTTAACACCACTGTATGTCATACATGAAAGTTGTTAACAGAATAAATCCTGAGTCTTCATCACAAGGAAAGATATTTTTTCTATTTATTTAAGCTTATATCTATATGAGATAATGGATGGTCACTAAACTTACTGTGAAAATCATTTCAAAATGTATGTATGTCAAATTATTATGCTGTATACCTTAAAGCTTATACAGTGCTGTATGCCAATTATATCTCAATAAAACTGGAGAGAAAAAAATAAAATACGAAAAGAACAAAAATTAACCATTGGCTAAGAGTAAAATCACTGCAGATCATTACAAAGCAAATGAAATTAGTCATGTATAGAAATAACTGAAGAAACACAAACTCCCAAATCCAATCAAAGAAAATATGGTATAAAGTAAATACTGGGAATGTCATTGATTTGAAAGCTAAAACTGTTAACAGAATGGGCAGTGCTATCTGAAAAAATTTGTCAAAAACTTCTCCAGCATCTTGAAAAGCTGGAAATGCCAATGAGAAGTAGAGATGGGAGCACTATCTTAACAAAACTATGCTACTCATTTGGAACCATTATTTCTAATAGTTGTATGCTCACACTCAGAATCTAAAATAGGGGCAGCAAACTGCCCCACTGTCATAACCACTCATGTACATCACAACTGCTTTCTTAACACAAGAGTAGAAATAAGTAATTCAAAAGAGAATCTGTGACCTGCAAAGCTGAAAATACTTATTATTGGGCCCTCTCCAGGACAAGTTTGCTGGTAAGGGCCACAAGTAGGGTGAGGCAAGTGAGGCACTTGACACACATGCAAAATTTAAGGGTAGACCCGAAAAGCCAGTAATCAAAACAAATAATATTTAAGTACTTAAAAAAACCAAAATTCATACAAGAAAATCCAAGATGAACAAAATATGAAAAATTTACTGAAAACAGGATCAGCAACGATGCCATGCCAAAAGAAAAACAAACAAAAAATCCAGTGATAATGAAAAGAAAAAAACAGTAATTTGAGCCTCTCTTTATTTTACTTTAGGAATTCCCTGCCCGTCCAGTAGTTAGGACTCCAAGCTTTCACTGCAGGGGGCCCAGGCTTGATCCCTGATCACAAGGTATGTGGCATGCCCCCCAAAAATTTTAATTTAAAAGTAAATAAATAACACTGTTTACTTTGATCGTTGTTGTTTAGTTGCTAACTCATGTTCTCTCTTGTGAGGTCATGGACTGTAGCCCACTAGGCTGCTTTGTTCATGGGATTTCCCAAGCAAGATTACTGGACAGGGTTGCCATTTCCTTCTCCAAGATTCTTGCCACCCAGGGACAGAACCTGCATCTCCCGCATTGCAGGTGGATTCTTTACCGCTGAGCCACTTGGGAAGCCCTTATCTTCATCTTGATTACCAGGTCTGATTTTTTTCTTAAAGCATTCTCCCTCACCTCAAACTCTGAGCCTCATTCACCTCTCCCTAGCCCCAGCTCTGCCTCGCTCTACAACTTCCCTGTGGACATCCCCAAACACCATAAACATCACCAGGTGGATATCAGTATCCTCTGATAAAGAATATATAATCATATTCAGAAAATAAATGGGTTACAAGTCCTTGTATTTAAGAGAGGTGATTAAGAATGGCTTTGTTCCTTTATCTAAGACAAAACCAACACTGTTCAAGAGAAATTTAGGAAGCCTGGAAAAAAGAATCCCTTAAATCCAATGAGCTGTGTTTCCCTCCGTTTCATTTTGCTTATGTGATACTTTTCCTTTGGAGCACTTACACGTATGTGTCTTAATGTAGTTTTAAATACTTGACTTTTCAAATTACTGTCATTATGGACCAGAAAAAATAAAGGAAAAATAAAGCCATTCAACAATTAGGTTCACTGTGTAACATCTCAATTAAATATCTCAAAAAGTACAAACCACACAACAACAAAATATGAAATGTTAAGTGTTTTTAGCACAAAAAAGGTCACCTGACTAATTTGAAGTTCCCTTTGGTCCCTGGAATGTCTGTAGGAAACTCATCGGGTGTGCTACTTCCACAGGATCTGTAACATTCTGGCCGAGGACAACTTGGGTCGTCAAGTTTATAAATCTAAAAGTTTCAATGAGAAAAGACTTGGATTTGTTATCTGCACATTCAACAATTAAAGTGAGTTTTTCATTTCACTGTACACAGCTCACCTTAGCATTAGCATAGCCAAGTTTGATTGTAATATTTCTTTCCAGTTCATTTTTGAAACGGACAGTGTGGACTCCAGAAATAGCTTTTACAACTGTAGATTTCCCATGAGCTACGTGACCAATTGTACCTACAAAGTACAAAAAATTAATTCAAGTGCATTCAGTTACACCACATATTTTTTCAATTTTAGAGGAGAAAACCCAAAGCCATAACTCACTATGAACATCACTGTAAAACCAACAGTGACTTTGATTTTTCCTCCTATGTATCCCTGATTACAAAAACTTATTATGATACAGGACTGAAGAGAACTTTCCGTGTGACTGACAACCTTGTTTTAAACCATACTGAGCATAATAAAAGCCATCCATCTTTAATCACAGAAAACAGTGCCTTCATTTAAAATAAACACTTGTAAAAAAGTGCATGAAACTTTCTATATCAAGAAACTTTTCAGCATTTTCAGAGCGAAGTAAGTATGAAGAACCCTGACACGCAAAAAAGGAATCCATGGAAACAAGAGAAAAACTCAGGCATGATTATAGTAATGCTATTAAGGCTAGCACGTATCATACAATTTTTAAGAGTCTCAAGGTAGAGCCTTACTTTTAAGGAGGTTTATACTGTTTTTGTACAGACTCTCAAATACTCCAAATTTACAGTCAGTCAACATAACTTCTCCAAAGTTCCAGATGCCAATTAAGGGGAAAAAAAAAACACCCTAATTATAGCTTATGCACATGTCAAACAAAACTTTCACAAACTCTGCTCTTGCAACAACCCTGTGTGGCAAGTACAATCACATTTCCCCTCTGCTTTACTAGATGACTACACATCACCTTATGCTATTAAAAGTTTTCTTTAAGTCTTTACCTTTTCTTCTCACCGAGTCTATAAGCTAGACAAAGGCAACAGGGGCCTCCCACCAAAAATCTAGCAGATGCATTGCTCCCAAGAGCTCAACATCTATTTCTCGAATATCTGCATCTTCATGTAATTCAGGTACTTACACAAAGGGAAAGAGCAAAACTATTTGCTGGAAATTAATGAAATCTCCAAGTTATTCTTATCTTACCTATATTAATTGTGGCTTGTCTGCTGATAACTTCATGTGAAAGTGGCGTCAACTTGGAAACATCCTGCAATCAAATATTTCTATATTAAATCATTGTACATAAGATGAATCAAAATTTTGGCTTTACATTGTTACCTACAGCTCGCTACCATTTGAATAGCCCTCTTCTACTTTTAAAGCGCTTTTCCTGTACAATCTTGCATTCTGGAAAGCACTAAAAGTCCTTCATCCTTGCACACTGATTATGGGAGATGTGGAGGCTCGGGGTCCCCCAACCTTGAGAGCATTAGCACTAAGGAATGTATAGATACTCCTTTCCCAAAACTTCCAAAGTGAAGAGCCTTAATGACACTTAACACTGTAAGTTCCTAGCCGAATCATTCGGGAGTTTGGGGGCCCCACGACCGCACAGCTCCATGCCCAGCTTCCTAACTTAACAGAAGCGCGTGGGGAAGCGCGAGCGCGGCTTAGGGCGCCGGGCTCCAGGTCTCTCTCCTAACTCATGCTCCTGACCACCGGCACCGCCTCGTTTCACAGCCTCGCGGGAGGCCCGGTCATCCCTACTCCTGAGCGCATTCCGCATACTTCCAGAGCCATGCCTTACCAAAGTAGCGAGATCTTGCCGAGAAAGGTGCGGCTGCCCTAAAGTCACACCAGCCTCGCCCCCCGCCATCTTGCCCGGAGAGGAAGGAAGTCGGCCGCGTACCTGCCTGAGCGCGCGCAGAACCCCTGGTGCAGGGCGGAGCAGCGGAGGCTGGAGGGCTGGCTAGGGCCCAGGCCTGCGAGAGGAGGATGGCCGCAGCAGCGGAGGCTTCACTGCTTGGACTTGTCTCCTAATTAATTTGTATAGTGCCCGCCGGCAGGCTGGCCAAAAAACACAAGGCCAAGTTTCGGGATCTACTCGCGGCAGACCTGTTGGATATTTCTGCAGGCAACGGTGCGGGCAGCCCCAACAAAGGCCCCCGACGAGGCGGGCGATGCCACCGAGGCGCGCGCTGACGAGGGTGAACCCACTTCCGGTTCCCCTAGGGATGGCCGAAAGAGCTTCCCGGAACCTGGGGTTCTTATCTGGGGTGTGAGGATAGGCTGTTGGAATGTCCTTCTTTACCGATTTCCATAATTTAATAAGACGAGATCAGCCCCGAGTCCGTCTCTCCTGTGACGGGGTTCGTGGCCGCGTACCGAGCTGGCGGGCGGTGAGGAGGGCGCCCTCAAGCGGATGTTTTGCGACCCAGGGATGGCAAAAGCAAAGTCTCTAACTTGTTCTCACAGAGAGGTTTCTAGAGCCTGGGAGGTGGTCCATGGTGGCGCTAATGGAGTTAGCACAGGATAGAAGCTAGGTGTCGTGAGAGCGCCCAAAGGTGTTTTTTTTTTTAGCCGATCCGAATCTCTATTTTCTTTACTCTTTCTCCTTTCTAAATATTCATTGTTCTTTTCCTGCAGCTAATGAAAACTGAAGGTCTTCAAATGTCATGTTTGCGAATGCAGATTGTATTCAGCGGAAATTGGCAGTCATTAATGTGTTTTTTTAATGCCAAGAACATAACAGTCTGTACACACATTTTTTGGAAATTTTAAATGTAAGAAAATATAATTAAAAATCACTCTAAAATCAAAAGTAAAATTATTCTTTGGGGATTTGTTTTTTAAAAAACAGTGAAAAGCAAAGTGTAGTGAAGGTACTAAAGCTACTTAAAATCTCTTAATGTACTTGAAATTTTTTTCTGTTAAAAGCTATCACTTTTTTATGTGACTTCCTGATTTTCAGTAAAATGTGCATATAACAATAAACTGTATTCTGTGTGAAAAAAAAAAGATCATTTTTTCACTGGACCTATTACCAATAAATCAGTATTTTAAAATTCAAAGATTTTTGAGACTTTCTTAACCCCTTTTTCAATAAGGTTCATTTCTGCTTAAGCATTTCTACACTGTAAATTTTCTATCATGTACAGGTCTTCATTTCTAGCCAGAAAAATAATGTAAGGAGAAATGAGTACATATTTAGGTTATCTGTGGTCATTGAATATGTAAGCAAGATTAAAATGAATAATGTTTTCTATCAGAGAAAGACAAATACCACATGATACCACTTACATATGGAATCTAAAATATGACTCAAATGAACTTAACCTATGAAACAGAATCACAGACATAGAGAACAGACTTCTGGTTGTCAAAAGGGAACAGGGTGTGGGGGAGGGATGGTTTGGGAGTTTGGGATTAAATGTACACTATTATATAGAGAGTGGATAAACAACAAGGTCCTTGTGTGTAGCACAGGAAACTATGTTCAATATCCTATGGTAAACCATGATGAAAAAGAATATGAAAAAAGTGGCTCAGTTTTAGGGTCCAGTTGCAATGCAAGAGACCCAGGTTCCATCCCTGGGTGGGGAAGATCCCTTGGAGAAGGAAATGGCAACCCACTCCAGTATTCTTGCCTGGGAAATCCCATGAACAAAGGAACCTGGCAGGCTACAGTCCATGGGGTCACAAGAGTTGGACACACCTGAGCGATTAAACCTACCTGCTGCTGCTGCTGCTAAGTCGCTTCAGTCGTGTCCGACTCTGTGCGACCTCATAGATGGCAGCCCACCAGGCTCCGCCGTCCCTGGGATTCTCCAGGCAAACCTACCTACCTACATATATATATATAAAACTGAATCACTGCTATACAGAAATTAATACATTGTAAATCAACTATACTTCAATAAAATCTATATATTTTTCTTTTTAAATTTATTTTTAATTGAAGGATAATTGCTTTACAATATTGTTGGCTTCTGTCATACATCAACGTGAATCAGTCAAAGGTGTACATGTTCCTTCCCTTTTTGAACCTCCCTCCCACCTCCCACCCCATCCCACCCTTCTAGGTTGTCATATTTTTTTTCTATCACACAAATTTTGGGCCCAACAGTTTACCTAAAATAGGAAGTTACATTTCAATAAATGTATTCATCGGTTGATGGTGGAAACTGTACCATATATTGCATTTGGGTGGAGGCATTTGGTTACTAAATTTATACTAGGAACCAAATGCCTCCAACAAAATATAACTTCTAAATTTATAAGTTCCTAAATTTAGAATTTTTATCTTATATTCTAAATAGTTATACTGTACCAACCAATTCAGAAAACCCACTGAGGTAATAAAGATGTGGAATTAGTGGTGGTTACACAATTACATATATACTAAAGAACAGTGAATTGTACTGTTTAAAAGGATGAATCTTATGGCATGTGAATTATTTTTCAATAAAATATAAAACTTGTTGGTAATAATATATAATATGCTTCACTATCAGAAACTTTTATTGGAAGTAGAAATGTCACTGAAAATAATGCTATTAATAATGATAGTATTAATATTGGCTCCAACCTGGGGAATTCTCTGGCAGTTTCTGGCGCTTTCACTGCCAGGGCTCGAGTTCAGTCCCTGTTCAGGGAACTAAGATCCCACAAGCTGTGAGGAGTGACCAAAGGAAAAAAAAAAAAAAGGTATACAATTCAGTGACATTTTAGTAAATTTACAGTTGTACAGACAATTCCATGGACAGAGGAGCCTGGTGGGTGACATGTAGTCCATCGGATTGCATAGAGTTGGACACCACAGAGCGACTAACACACAAAGAATTGTGCAACTATCATGCCAATCCAGATTTTGAACATTTCCATCACCCCAAAGAGATCCCTCATGTCAATCCCCTTTGCAGTCAATCCCCATACCCATTTCTGGCCCCAGGCAATCATGAGTAGTCTATCTCTCTATACTGATTTGCCTTTTTTGGACATTTTATATAAATGGCATCATACAATATGTGGTCTTTTTTCACTCAGCATAAGGATCTTGAGGTTCATCTATGCTGTAGCATCTTATCAATAGTAGTTCATTCCTTTCTGTTGCTCAATATAATTCCATTTCATGGACAGATCTCTTGATTTTTTTCCACTTTTTGGGTGTTGTGAATAATATTTCCACAAACATTTTTGTACAAGTTTTTTATGAAAATATTTTATCTTGGTATATATCTACTTGTGCAATTGCTGAGTCCTATGGTACACCTATGTTAAACATTCTGAGGAACAGCCAAATTTTTCCAAAATGGCTGAACCATTTTACATTCCCACCACCAATATATGAGGTTCCAGTTTCTCCTTGCCAATGCCTGATATCGTCTCTTCTTTTTATTATAGACATTCTTGTAGATGTGGCTTTAATGTGCATTTCTCTAATGAATATATTGAGCATTCTTTCATGTACTTAATAACCACTCAAATATCTTCTTTGGTAAAGTATCTATTTAAACCCATTTTAAAATTGGGTTGTTTATCTTACTGAGTTGCAAGAGTTCTTTATATATTCTGGATACAAATCCTCATCAAATGCATGATTTGCAAATGTTTTCTCCCAGTTTGTAGCTTGTCTTTTTGTTTTCTTAATGGTATCTTTGAAGAAAAAAAATTTCTACCTTTGATGAAATCCAATTTCTTTCTTTTATGAATCTTGCTTTGGGTGTCAAATTTAATAACCCTTTGCCTAACCCAAAGTGATGAATACTTACTCCTATGTTTTCTTCTTAAAGGTTTATGGTTTCAGTTATTACCTTCCAGATATATGATCTATTTTGAGTTAATTTTTGTGTATAGTGTGAGGTAAGAGTTTAACTCCATATTTTTGCATGTAGATAGCCAATTGTACCAGCACTATATACTGAAAAGACAATCCTTTCCCTATGGAATTGTCTTGGCGTGTTTGTCAAAAATAAATTTGACCATAAAAATGCTTATTTCTGGACTCTCAGTTCTGTTCCATTGATGTACATGTCTATTCTTATGTCAGTACTACAATGTCTTGACTTCTGTAGTCATATAGTACATTTTTAACTAGGTTCTTTTTCACAACTGGTTTGGCTCTCCTGGAGCCTTTGAATTTCCATGTAAATTTCAGGATCAGCTGGTCAGTTCCTGCAATAAAGTTTGCTGGGTTTTTGATAGGGATTGTTTTATTTTGGGGGTGGATTATCTCCTTTTATTCCTTTGGAAACTCTCGTCTTCCTAAATACCCCCCAAACTCTTAGCGTATATTTCCTAGTAATAATTACTGTGTACTAGGCATGGTGCTGAGTGGTTTGCAGTCATTTCTGCATTTGTTCCTTACAATTACCCTTGGAAATTTTCTATATCCTTAGAAAGGTGAAAAAAATTTTTTGATGTGTACAATGACATTTATTTTTCCACAAACATTTTCTGGCCCCTATGGCAGCATGGACAGTAGTAAGCAAGCAGGTTCTGGAATCAGAACAGTTCAAATTTTAACTTCTTCATTTTCCATCTATGTAAATTTAAATCAGGTACTAGCTACTCTGGGCTTCCCACATGGCGCAGGTGGTAAAGAATCCACCTGCCAATGTAAGACAGGTCAGTTCGACCCCTGGGTTGGGAAGATCCCCTGGAGAAGGAAATGGAAACCCACTCCAGTCTTCTTGCCTGGGAAATCCCATGGACGGAGGAGCCTGGTGGGCTACAGCCCATGGGGTTGCAAAGCCAAACACGACTGCACACATGCACCAGGCACTAGCTACTCTGTCAGCAACTTAATCTGTAACAAAGGGCTAGAAATAGTATTGACCTCAAAAAGGAGTAAATGAATAAATACATCAAACATTT